AAGAGTCGCTGTTGATGTTCCTTCCGACCCGCCGAGTTGTTACCATGATTTAATGCGTCCTTAATATGTGCCTACTGGATAGTCATTGCTGTAGTCATTGTGCGTACTAACGTGTACACGTTTACATTGTCTTAACTGAAGGGGTGTATATTTTACACTGAATTGAACCATGTTATTACCGACTGTCCCTGGATATACATTGCACACAGTATTACAAATGTTCTGCACCTATTCGGTTTATATTTTACACTGTATTACAAGAAGTTTGGACATAGTAGGTATATATTTTACACTGTGTTACAAACGGTGTGAACTTATTGAGAGTATATTTTAGACTGTATTACACATGTCTGTATTACAAGTAGTGGGGGCATAGAAGGTTCATATTAAACACTGAATTACTTATTATACATGTTGTGCACATGCAGTGTATGTATTTTATGTAGTTTTTAAAACTCAATTTGCGTACTTACAACAGCAAATTAGAATTCCGATAATCAATGAAACCAAAACAATGACCCCAATGGCAATGAAGGCGGCGACTTGGGGCACTTAAAAGGGAAAATTAAATAATTTAAATCTAAATGTCCAATAAAGACGATGTAGATTTGTGTGTGTGTGTGTGTTTGTGTGTGTTTGCGTGTGTGTTTGAGTATATGGAAGTTTTTCAATTCCTCTGGGTGTGCATGTGCATGTGTGTGAGAGTATAATTTTGCGTTTGTGTCTGCGTGAGTTTGTGTGTGAGAGTTTTTTCGTGTGCCTTTGAGCGTGTTGGTGTGGGAGTGTGTGTGGTGGTGTGTGCATGTGCTTGTGTATGTTTATGTGTGAGTTTCATGTCATGTATACGTGTGACGGTGCGTCAAATGTCATCTCCTTATACACTTTATTTAAACCTTCATCTATGTCACTCTCTAATGTCATCTCCTATACACTTTATTTAAACCTTCATCTATGTCACTCTCTAATGTCATCTCCTTATACACTTTATTTAAACCTTCATCTATGTCGCTCTCTAATGTCATCTCCTTATACACTTTATTTAAACCTTCCTCTATGTCGCTCTCTAATGTCATCTCACTATACACTTTATTTAAACCTTCATCTATGTCGCTCTCTAATGTCATCTCCTTTACACTTTATTGAAACCTTCATCTATGTCGCTCTCTAATGTAATCTCCTATACACTTTAATTAAACCTTCATCTATGTCGCTCTCTAATGTCATCTCCTTATACACTTTATTGAAACCTTCATCTATGTCGCTCTCTAATGTCATATCCTATACACTTTATTGAAACCTTCATCTATGTCGCTCTCTAATGTCATCTCCTATACACTTTATTTTAACCTTTATCTATGTCGCTCTCTAATGTCATCTCCTATACACTTTATTGAAACCTTCATCTATGTCGCTCTCTAATGTCATCTCCTATACACTTTATTGAAACCTTCATCTATGTCGTTCTCTAATGTCATCTCCTATACACTTTATTTAAACCTTCATCTATGTCGCTCTCTAATGTCATCTCCTTATACACTTTATTTAAACCTTCATCTATGTCGCTCTCTAATGTCATCTCCTTATACACTTTATTGAAACCTTCATCTATGTCGCTCTCTAATGTCATCTCCTATACACTTTATTTAAACCTTCATCTATGTCGCTCTCTAATGTCATCTCCTTATACACTTTATTAATGTCATCTCCTTATACACTTTATTGAAACCTTCATCTATGTCGCTCTCTAATGTCATCTCCTATACACTTTATTTAAACCTTCATCTATGTCGCTCTCTAATGTCATCTCCTTATACACTTTATTTTAAACCTTCATCTATGTCGCTCTCTAATGTCATCTCCTTATACACTTTATTTTAAACCTTCATCCATGTCGCTCTCTAATGTCATCTCCTTATACACTTTATTTTAAACCTTCATCTATGTCACTCTCTAATTTGGCGTTCTTATAAGGCTTTCTTATCAATTCTTAAAATGCCTTCTCATCAGATCTTACAACACCTTCGTATCAATACTTATAATTTCTTCTTATCAGTTCTTATAATTCCTTCTTATCAGTTCTTAAAATTCCCTCTTAACATTTCTTATAATGCCTTCTTATAATTCCTTCTTCAGTCCTTGTAATGCCCTTTTATAATTTCTTCTTTTCAGTTCTTATAATGCCTTCTTATCAGTTCTTACAATGCCTTCTTATAATATTTTAAGGTTGTCAATAAAATGATAAAAACAAAAAAAAAGGTGCATACCATCTTCGAGAAAAGGAGTAGGAGGAGGTGATCCACTAGCTAAAAATAAAAAATACAAATCACAAGAATTGAGTTTCTTCAATTAATCGTATCAAAGAGCCATTTCATATTTAAATTGATCATTGAAAGAAATCTGTTTCTTCGCACTCTCTTTTGTGACAGATAATTAAACGCATGGGAAAACTGACATTCATTGACGTCATGTAAACGTATACACTCGATATTTGATCAGTGGTTAGGTTCTCCTTTCCTTGTTTACTTTTTATTATTAATTAGAAACACTTCTTTTGATTTTATTTCTGACATCATAAATCGATCGAAAAAAAAGATTATTTCCATCACAAAAATTCTTTGGTTTTGATCTTTCATTTTGTAATTTATTTGATGCAGGGCCGGCGCTACGAGGTTGCGGGGCCTTGTGCAAATTGAATTTTGCGAGGCCGTTGACGGTATATATTCCGCCGATAGGATATTTAGACATGTTCTAGTCGTACTGGGGCCTGGCTTGTTGTAATGGGATGCTTCATAACCGTTATTTCTTCACTCGCGGATTATCCGAAATTTCTATTATTTCCTATAACAGTTAATTGCCTTGGCCCAAATTACTCATCGCTGCTCCATTCATACCAATATCAAGGTTGTCAACACACAAAAAATTACGAAAACCCGAAGCTGAATGAGACCATTTGACCATCTAATAACTCAGAATATTGTGTTGTCTTGATTAATAACTATCACTATCATTAGGCTTAGGCATATTATAAATATACTGCGGCCATGCGAGGGGCCCCGCGATCACTCACTTCGCCCTCCCATAGCTCCGGCCCTGATTTTGAGATGGGAGAACCCTGATAACGTGATAAGATTAACGCAAACAAACGCTTACAATTGATGAGTTGGACACGTCTAGACTCACCGGATCAGCTCTACTAAAAAGTTCCCAGCCCTCTAGTAGCCAAGATAAAGTTTCAAGGCCTGTTTTAAATGTGCCTCTTTCGTTTTACGCAAGCAAATGTGTTTAAATAGTTTTATTGTTTTGCTGTCGTTCCTCTGCATGCGAAAATGACCTTAGTTTCGATTTGAGCAGTAGACGTGACTAGGTGTATGTGTCGTTAAAAGTGAGGGAGGTTTGCTCAATTGGTTAGCCTCACTCACCTCGACCTTGCATATTTGATCAAATGGCAAGACTTAGTCAAAGTAATTGGAGAGAGCCTTTTTTTTGGCGGTTGGGGGGGGGGTGTGGGGTGAAGGGTTTCTGATGATAATGTGGAGAGACTTCAATCAGGTTAGATAAATGAAATTGAGCGAGATTATTTATGGGAAAGCCTAAAAAAGAAAACAGCAAAACAACAAATGTGTCGGCAAGACGTCTTCATCAGCGGACACATACTCATTTCCCAGTCATTGCTTTATTTTTAGTGTGTTTTTCGCTTTGCTCTGTAGCGTTCTAAGTCGCCATTGTTTTAGTGTCGTACAACCTACAAGACTCTATCTCCGTGTCCCAGTTCACAGTTTGCAATTTCTTCTGTTGGTTGCCATCCAGGGCTAACAAGTTCAATCCACCCGGGAGACGAGGACGGCTCGGGGGTGACCGGGGGGGGGGACGAGCCATCAAATGTGGGTCATTCAAAAGCTTATTGACTGGAGTGCAATCCCTGCCAAAAGCCTGACGTGCGAAATAAACCCCAGCACCCTGGGTAGAAGGGACAATCCCAGCAACCCGGCCAGAGGGGACAATCCCAGCACCCTGGGTAGAAGGGACAATCCCAGCAACCTGGGTAGAGGGGACAATCCCAGCACCCTGGGTAGAAGGGACAATCCCAGCACCCTGGGTGGAAGGGAAAATCCCAGCAACCCGGGTAGAGGGGACAATCCCAGCACCCTGGGTAGAAGGGACAATCCCAGTAACCCGGGTAGAGGGGACAATCCCAGCACCCTGGGTAGAAGGGACAATCCCAGCAACCTGGGTAGAAGGGAAAATCCCAGCAACCCGGGTAGAGGGGACAATCGAAGCACCCTGGGTAGAAGGGACAATCCCAGCAGCCTGGGTAGAAGGGACAATCCCAGCAACCCGGGGAGACGGGACAATCCCTGACAATCCCAGCACCCTGGGTAGAAGTGACAATCCCAGCAACCTGGGTAGAGGTGACAATCCCAGCACCCTGGGTAGAAGGGACAATCCCAGCAACCTGGGTAGAAGGGAAAATCCCAGCAACCCGGGTAGAGGGGACAATCGCAGCACCCTGGGTAGAAGGGACAATCCCAGCAGCCTGGGTAGAAGGGACAATCCCAGCAACCCGGGTAGAGGGGACAATCCCAGCACCCTGGGTAGAAGGGACAATCCCAGCAACCCGGGTAGAGGGGACAACTCCAAGTGACCCGGGTTGATGCGACAACTCCAAGTAGATTGGGCAACTCCAGCTCCCCGGGTAGATGGGGAAACCTCAGCACCCCGGGTAGATGAGGCTCGCTTTTAAATTATAGGCTCTTTACTTTATCAAAAATCTCTTTTTGTTTCAATGCCACCGTAAAAAGATTTCTTGTTTGGAATAACCCTTTCAAAACAAAAAGGAGAGCACTTTTTTTTACTTCAGCGGAAACTTATAGTTCAGCAGAATCAGATTAACCCTGCCCCCCCCCCCACCCCCACACACATGTTTTTTTTGCTGTCCACAATTATTCCCATTGCGTACAGACTCACCAAATTGACACTTGAGACGGCCACGCACACCACACGCGTCATGAGTTGAGAAGTCAAACTCTGTCAGTTTCGTGTCGATGACGGCTTCCACTTTGGCACACGGGCTCGTCGACGTCGTTAGGCTCCCCCCGTCTCTCGCTATCTCCAGCGTTATGTTGGGGCTGTGCGCTATGCAGCAAAACTCCAACACATGATTCGCCTTGACGACGAACTGCATGCTGCAGGCGGGTTCCTGCTGCACTTCGGTGCCGTCGATCTTCACGGTGTAAATGTCAACTTGATGGGGTCGTCGTTTTGGAGGTTAAACACATTAAAAGTGAAAATAAAAAATCGCTTGAAATGAACTGAGGCTGTTTAAAAATCATCAATCTAGAATCCTTTGAAATAAAATGACTTGATGAGACTTAATAAGAAACAACGTTTGAACATGACACAAGACACCCACAAATAGTGGACACTTTTAGACAAGTTTTTTGTTTTTCTTTTTTGCTTTAAACTATCCTTAAAACTTTAAATTTAAAAAAAAAAGCTCACTCATTAGCTGAAGTTTCCCTAGAGCAGTGTAGCACTGCAAAGTCACAAATAAAAAGCTGTATGGAGCAGTAGTGGAGCGAAAGTCCCAATTTAAACAATAGCCCAATAGAACAAATAATAACTTGAGACGATCAAATAACTTGTGATTCTGTGGTTTCAATTTTACTTAAGAATGTTGGGTGAATATATATGGTTCTGCCCACTCACCTACAGATGGTTCCCGCAAACGTACATATGGTTCCCCATTAATCTTCAGATTGTTTCCCCCTGACCTACAGGTGGTTCCTTCCTGACCTACGTATGGTTTCCCCTTCAAACAAATGTTTTCCCCCGACCTACAGATTGTTCCCCTATCCTACAAATGTTTCCTTACTGACCTACGGATGGTTCCCCCCCCCAACCTACAGACGGTTCCCCTCTAACCTAAATATGGTTCACCCTAACTACAGATGGTTCCCCTAACCTATACATTGTTCTCCCCTAACCTACAGATGGTTCCCACCTAACCTAAATATGGTTCACCTTAACTACAGATGGTTCCCCTAACCTATACATTGTTCTCCCCTAACCTACAGATGGTTCCCCCTAACCTAAATATGGTTCACCCTAACTACAGATGGTTCCCCCTTACATATACATTTTTCTCCTTAACCTAGAGATGGTTCCCCTTAACCTACAGAGGGTTTACCCTGACTTACAGATGGTTCCCTCTGACCTAAAGATGGTTCCACATGAACAACACCAAATGAGGAACAAACGTCCCCAATAAAAAAACATGAAAAAAAACAAAATGATGAAGAAATGGCTCTATAACAAACAATGAACAACACTTGATCAACCAATTACCACATACCTTGCCTTTCCTTATAACCTTTACTGCATATAGCTTTGCACAGAACAAAAATTAGATAGCAAGAATTATATACATCACACGTTGAAAGAACGTTGAATAAAACAATTAGCTAAAGCTCCTAATCAGTGGTTCCCAACCTTCTATATGACGTTTCCCTTAAATACAGTTTCTCATGGTGTGATGACCTCCAACCAAAAAATTATCTTCGTTGCTACAACAAAGATATGTTCTCCGATTGCCTTAGGCGACCCATGTGTAAGGGTCTTTCGACCCCAAAAGGGTCGCAACCCACAGGTTGAGAGCCGCTGCGCTGGAACGTGTCCTATTTTACCGTTTTTGTTTACGTACTAATCATTTTGAGGAAAGTCATTGTTTGTCAGAATGGCTGATAAGACAAGCTTCTTTCAGTCCAACTAGTATAACGTCTCATGAGACGAGATTTTTAAGTCGTTTAATCGCTTATGACAGCAGATATTACGGTGAAATTAGTATTAAGAATAATTTGTTACATTTTTTATTTTGTGTGCGTATGTGGACAGTTTAGAACTATGGCCATGAGTTAACGAGAGCATGTGAAGCAGGAACATGTTTGACCCATCGCCCCAGACTCCGACATGCGCTTAAGAAACGTCCAACCCCCATAATCTACAACCCCCTAGACCCGTTGCTGAGACATGTTTTAAAAATGATACATACCGTACACTTGAGGCAGCGTGGCTTTGTCGGATGTGTAAACATCTCCCAGGTGCGTCATGGTGAGCATCATAGAGCCTAGGCCAAGTTCACACCGTGCTGTGATCGTGCATCTTATTATGAAATTATTTGTAGACAACGGAACCTCAACGCAAGGACCCTCAGTGATGACCTCTTCGGTGGGAACACCTGTCCACTTATATAGAGTTGTCGTGGTTTCTTCCTGTGATTAAAAAATAATAATAAATTACACTATTGTCAACTAGTGGATTTCATTGTCGACTTTTGGTGGTAATTATCGAATCCCCCTCAATCATCAAGCTTAATGAGAGTAAATTATGCAATGCTACGTGTTAAAATAGAATTTGACGATCACATTTCTGCAGTGAAAAAGAAGTCGAATTTCAGGTCGAATGGCTTGAGCGGTACAACGCCGGGTGGATGTAGTTTATTTGTTTGGATTAGAAGCTGGGACATGTTGGGGGAAATCCAAGTTTGAAAACAGTAAAAAAAAGCAATATTTAAAAATTGTAAAAGTTGCAGTTTCAATGAAACAAACCTTAACAGTCGTTAAGAGAGAGGATCGCTAAGTGTTTTCTTTATAAAGAAAAACTGTCGATGGTGTAGACTGCGCATATCTAGATCCACAAAAGTCTTTATACATATATATGTATATGTAAGGATTTAAATTATTTAAACAGCAACCAGAGAAACGAAAGAGAAGAAAAAGAAAATGTGAATTGAACAGATATGAGAAGCATGAGATACCATGTCAGTGACGTACCGGTACAACCTCTTTACTGGTCACGAACGTGACCTCAAAGACGGACGTTTCCAGCTGAGTCAAACCGCCAAAGTCAACTCTAAACGAAACGACGAAGTTATCAATGTCGTGCATCAGCTTCTTGGCGTCTGAGCAATTCGAAAATTGACTCGGGTTGAAGTTGAAGAGACTAACTGGGGCGGCCAAACAGAATATTAGCCGACCCAAAGTCAGTGCTAGGTGGATGGTTTTCTTCAGTGCGCCATTCATTTGCTCACTGGTAATCTTGAGAATCGTTAAATACTCATGTCAGCTTGACCTATCTAAAAGTTTCCATGGAATACGTCATAACGTGGTTTGTTTTGTTTTTCTGTTTCTACGCAAACACAGCTATCATCTTACGTGTTCCATTTCTGCAGCTCGAATAGAAGTCAAGGCTATGAGAAATAAAATGGAAACAAAAAATGTATATTACTAGATGGATTACTTTTTAATTGCGCTCTTTCGTTCTGTGGCTGTTAATTTTGGCTGTGCAATTTATGTAAGTTTATTTTCGCAAAAAAGCGTAGTTTTTTTCATATGAATGTTCTTACTTTACTAGTTACTTTTGATATAACTATTTTCTTTATACATCTAATTCAAAGCATTTACTGCTAACTTTTGTTAATTAATAAACACTAAAACAAACTTACACAGACAATCACATTTTAAACTTCTCAATGAAAAGTCAACAAAGGAAGTTGTTTTGGTACATTAAAAACTTTGACTATAGCTCGTAGTTTGCACTTCAGCGCATCGTAGTTTGCACTTCAGCGCATCGTAGTTTGCACTACAGCGCATCGCTTCACACTTATTACGTGCGCGTATTTTAACACGTTATCGTTCTGCTTTATTTCGCGATTGTTTTTGTTATAAATAGTTTTTTAATTTTCAATAATCGTGCCTTGGCCATGTTAAATGGTTAAACTTTGATTAGAATGAATGCTTAAAAGCACATTAAGTGATATGGAAAAAACGTAGCAAAAAAGTGAGAGCAACTTTACAGCAATATGACAGCAATGCAGCGGCAATGTGGCGGCCATGTGGCAGAAATTTGGCAGACATGTGGTAACAATGTGTCAGAGATGTGACAGCAATGTGACAGCAATGTGACAGCAATGTGACAGCAATGTGACAGCAATGTCACAGCTATGTGGCAGCAAATGTGGCAGCAATGTGGTAGCAATGTGCTAGCAATGTCTCAGAAATGTGGTGGCAACGTAATATCAACCTTGAAGCAATGTGGCAGAAAGGTGAGAGCAGTACGACTGCAATGTGACAGCATTGTGACGGAAATAAGACATCAATGGGCGGAAATGTGACAGTGATGTGGCAGCAATATGACGGAAATGGGGCAGCCATGCGAATGTAATTTGGAAGCCATGTGCCAGCAATGTGACCGCAATGTGGTAGCAATGTGGCGGAAACAATATATGGGGGAAATCGTGACTACGTTGTGACATTAACTCCTTTAAAGTAGAATTCTAATGCGAGTTAAATGACTACTATCGCTAGTTCAGCTACAAACAGGGGGCCCCATGGGAAATCAATGACGTCATAAACACGCTTTTGCTCCAATGACAACAATGGAGTGAAATATGTTTCCTTTGAGGTCACTTAAATTAATTGCCTTGATATGACTATGCCCGCATCACAAAACATCAGTTCATCTGTGGCTAATTACGTCATACGCTACTGAATTTTTTCCCTTTTGTCTGAATAGGTGTGGGTATGAATGTATAACGAATGCTTTCCCAGCGACTGCACTAAATGGGTTTAAAGCTTTAAAAGAAACTGATGGAGCTACACGAGTTTAGACCGTTCCTTTAAAGTAAACACACAATGAGAGACTGAAGAGAAAAAAAAGGTGTCAGAAGTGCACAATTTAGTGAGGCTTTGGCTCATTGTGTACAACAGTGTGTACGAAATCAGTGTATTCAATTCAGTGTGTTCAACTAAGTGTGTATAACTCAATGTATTTAACTTAGTGTGTAAAACTCGGTGTGTACAACTCATTTTGCATAGCTCATTGTGTGCAACTCCGTGTGTTCAACTGAGTGTGCAAAATTAAGTTCGTAAAACTCAATTAGTACCACACAGTGTGGAGGCGGTATGCTGTTCAAACCCCAGAAGCAAGCTTGTCAACATCAAGGATTCACCCTGAACACTCACTTGTATTTACTGGCTCAATATCCCCTTGCTGCAGTAGGTCGTTCTTGATCACTCAACTGGGAAAAAATGGAAGCTCTTCGATTGATATTATGTTTAGGAAATACTTATTGGAAAATGCCGTCATCGACCATATACGAGAAGAAAAAAGAAGGATTTCTTTGAGGAATTTGCTCCTTATCTAATGATCCACACTTAGATTAATTAGCTGCAAATCCTTCCACCAAACCCTTCCACCAAACACTTCTACCAAATGCACCCAACAAACACACACACACACATTTTACAACATTTATTACTCTAATTTGATTTATCGTTTATCCAGGTCAGTCATAGAATGGAATTATTAAAAAAAGCGTTTTTTTATCAATGCCTCGTTACGCCTTCTCTTGATATACGATACAGATCAATGCCTTGTCACGCCTTCTCTTGATATACGATACAGATCAATGCCTTGTCACGCCTTCTCTTGATATACGATACAGATCAATGCCTTGTTACGCCCACTCTTGATATACGGTACAGATCAATGCCTTGTTACGCCCACTCTTGATATACGGTACAGATCAATGCCTTGTTACGCCCACTCTTGATATACGGTACAGATCAATGCCTTGTTACGCCCACTCTTGATATACGGTACAGATCAATGCCTTGTTACGCCCACTCTTGATATACGGTACAGATCAATGCCTTGTTACGACTTTTCTTGATACACGGATACAAATCAATGCCTCAATTTGCCTTTTCTTGATATACGATAAAGATCAAATCTTCTTACGCCTCCCCAAATAAACAATGGGGTGTCTGGTTACGCCTTCCCTTGACGTACGGATTCAGTTCGCTGCCTTATTATGTCTTTTTAATATTGAGATACATTTCGATGCTTGTGGGATTCCGTTCAATTCTCTTTTGTCGAGTTTATCTAAGTGTTTCAATCAAATCCTACCATGACGACTTTCTATTCGAGCACAGTTGTCATCTTTCTTGTTCAATTTTTGTTGCACGAATAAGAACTAGAGGCTATAAAGAATGAAATTAAAATATATAAATACACATTCATTGCTAATTGTGCTAATTTTAATTACTGTATCTGTTTATATTATTATTATGTGACTTCTTAAATTTGTCGAAAGTTGATAAGCATATTCACATGATGTGTAAATGTTCTGCGCCTGAATTTTCTTACGTGAATGGGTACTTTTGATATAACTATGTGAAATTTAAATTATGTACCAATAATTTAACGAATTTATAGACCAACTATTACTATTTCAAAAAAGCCTAAAAGTGATCAAATTATTAGATTTTAAAGTTCTCGATGAAAGCAGTACCAAAAAAGGAAGTTGTATTAGACATTTAAAAATATTGCCTTTAACTCGTAACAACGCACCAGTTTTCACTGAACGTTCCCATATTGTAATATATTTTGTTTTTAAATTAGGTTTATTTTAACATTGCTCAAACTTTATTTTAGTACCTTTCCCATTCTTAATGTCTACACATTGATATATAAAAAAAAAATATGTAAAACAAAACAACACACGCCAACGAAATGACAACAATGTGGCAGCTGTGTGACAAGAATGTGACAGATGTGTGACAAGAATGTCACCGCTGATTGACAAGAATGTGACAGCAGTGTGACAAGAATGTGACAGCTGTGCGACAAGAATGTGACAGCTCTGTGACAAGAATGGACAGCTGTGTGACAAGAATTGTGGAGGCTGTGTGACAAGAATGTGACAGCTGTGTGATAAGAATGTGACAGCTGTGCGACAAGAATGTGACAGCTCTGTGACAAGAATGGACAGCTGTGTGACAAGATTGTGGAGGCTGTATGACAAGAATGTGACAGCTGTGTGACAAGAATGGACAGCTGTGTGACAAGAATGTGACAGCTTTGTGACAAGAATTTTACAGCTGTGTGACAAGAATGTTACAGCTGTGTGACAAGAATGTTACAGCTGTGTGACAAGACATAGTAACACATTTCTTCGAGATTGTTGAGATCCCCATTCAGCGTGTCGATATTGATACCGATAATCAGTCCATGGGAAATCAGGTCTTTTCATGATATAGATTAATTA